ATCACTTCTTATTGTAATAATCTTAGTTCCAGTTGCATGACAAACATTTATAGCTGCACTCCTGCTAAACTTTAATGGCCTCGTACTGCTTTTAAGTTTGTCTGCCTTTTTTACAAGTGTAAAAATGTGTTCGGACAGCCAGCGTCAGAGCACACAGCCAGTATACCAACTGTATGGATGCTAGCTGTAGCTAGCTCGCAACATTCAGTAGCTTTTATTTTTTACTTCCAGTTTGTCTCTTTCGACTCAGTTCTCACAAACATCTTTTGTTTTTGAATGAATTTACAACTGATTTGTTTTGCGTCACAAACGGCCAGTGTGCAAACTGTTGGATTTTAGCTCGAGCTAGGCTGTGTGTGTTTGTGTAGCAGGTCACAGCTGGACTGATTCAGAAAAGTTCACCTGAAACTCTACTTCCTCCTGTTACTTTGCTCTGTGCCTCTCCCTCTCTGTCTCTGTGGGTTTATAAAGAGAGTTTTAGGGTCAGTCTTAGGGTTAGGGGTTAGCATCACATATAGCTAATGCACGTGCTCGTTCACTTTGTGTGCAGTGCTGCCACCTCTGTATCGCTTCATGTTCCGTTTGAACAAACTGCTTTGTTCTTGGTAGAGGAGGATTTAATTGAACCTACATTCCTCATGTTCCACTTTAAGACATTTTACATTTCAGATCAGTGTGGATACTTTAGACAAGGCCTCATGTCACTGTGCAAATAATGTGAGTGCCAAGTATATAAAACTACATTAACATCAGAAGACACAACTCTGATTAAGCCACTTGTTTTATCTACAGTGTAAATGTAGTGTATTTGCATTTAGACCATCCAAGGCCATTAAATCCTGCAGAAACTCTGTGTCTCCAAATTCAGCTTCAGGAACACCTGGACCAGCAGTTTATGGATGAAAAGCCTGGCATGTTGTTGGAGTCTGGGTGGGAAATTATCACCATTGTTTAACTAGTAAATTTGTCTGCCTCTTTGGCAGGGTCCCAGCAACACTCAAGAGTTATTTCCTGCTTTTAAGAATATGTTTTTGAGGCCACTGTTGCCGCCGGACACTAGGAGTCACCGCCTCATCTTTGTGGGGTCATAAGCATGCCCACAATTCAGCTATCAACTGTTACGAAATTATAGAAACGAGATAAATTACAGACATAAATTATATACAAGGTTTTCATGGGTCATCAAATACTCGATTTGATTGGATTAAGCTGATTGATGGCCTCTCCCCTCAGCGCTGAATGTGTTTTTGAATGCGTCTGCAGTGGCAAAACCCAGTTCGGTCATTACCCCCATCTCCCTTATCAGCACAAGGGGAATAAACACAAATCTAATAGAAATTCATTACACAGACCCATATCCACACACACACTCTCTCGCTCTCCCTCTCACACACAGATCCAACTAGTTTATTAGATTAATAGGCTATGAATGGCTAATACGAATTACCCCTCTCTCTTGTTAACGAGACGCAGAGCAATTTGTATAATTATGTCTGTGGAAGGAAGAATTCCTGTGTCTAAGCATATTTTTAGACAGCCGAGCTTTCTGAAGGTTTCTGATTACGTATTTACTTTAGGGTTTTCAGCTTGTGCTCTTTCTCTCAGAAGTCGTTTTTGAATAATTCATCGCTTTGTTCCAGAGCAGAATAATTTGTGTTGAGATTTATAAGCAATTGCTTTGGGGTGGGCTGATTTTACCCCCTTTTTTTTAAATGACAAAACGTGTTCTGTCAGTGTGTCTCTTTCAAACGGAGGTCTGAGTCGAGACGGCGCTTTCAGAGAGGACACGGGGTTTGCAGCACATCTTTTTAAAGAGTTTGGTGCCAAAACACAAGACACAGCATCTTAAAAACATAACCTCTACTGCCTCAGTGTTTGACAGCACTTTAAATGATAATAGAAAACTTCTTTTCAACTGGCTCTTCTGGATCTTAAGTTACACTGCATTTGACTTGTGTCTACACAGGCCATTAAGTCATTAAGCTCAGTTTCAGGATGTTTCTAGAAATTAATGTGAGCAGCTTGAAACAAGACATAATTAGACAAACTGCTCCACGAGTATGAAGAAAACTTGCTTCAAGGAATATTTTGAAATGCGTTTATTTCAGACTCAATAATTACCAGTCACTTGTTCAAATAGATTTTCAGAATTTAATCTAGAGGAATAAATTGTAGATTGTCTTTTTTCTTTATTCAGTAAATTCTGTACATGTCCACCTTTTACCAGCAAGGAGTTCCAGTGTTGAACCTGGTGAATGTGAAAGTCATATGAACAGTAAATCAGAATCAAGATAAGATCAATATAACGTCAGACATTTTGTGTTAATGTGCAGTTAATCCTTGACATTCATTACAAGCTGTACAGTGGCATGGTTAAATAAAATGTTGTGTCTTTTCTGTTTAATTTCCTCTTGATTCTTTGTGGCATTTGTGAAAAAGACAGTCGCAGAGAGAACAGGGGTCTGACATGCACGACCTTGGATATCGTGGGTTCTCTGGTTCCCTTTAGCAGCCACTGGGTTCCTCTTTGTCTTCGCTAAACAAATTCAAACATGTTGCCTTTTTTCTTTCTTCCTTCCTGTTTGTCTGTAGGTTCCTGGGAACTTTCTTGAACCGGGTCTAGTTGACCTCCACCACATCAGCCCAGTCCCAGCTGGTCCAGTGGCACCAGCTCCAGATGACTCCTGGGAATGGGATGAAACAGATATGACAATCACAGAACCGGAGCCACAGCTAGTACCAGAACCTGACCTCACACACAACCTCCCCACAGAACCAGACCTGCCCTCAGACAGTGGTCTGCCTAATGGGAATCAGCTCGATGGGACTCAAACCCCTGTCTCAGCCAGTCACTGTCCTGACATGATGTCCAGTATGAGTGGGTCCTCACCAGAGGCTCAGCCCAGCGTTACCTCCCAGACTCTGCCCCCTAACACCAATCACATCTACCAGGTGTACAGCCTCCATAATGTTGAATTCTGCAGACAGCCGCAGTTTCCTCATGTTCCTTCCTTGCTGTACAAAACCAAGTCAGGAAACCAGAAACAGCATCTCCTGCTAAAGAGCCTGAGTAAGGACTCCTCATTCTCCTCCATCGAATCCCTTCCGGACTTCCTGGGAGGTTTGATGTCAAACCACCAAGGTGGAGATAGGATCGCTGGATACAAGGATGAAGAGAGTGAGCGAGAGGGTGGCAGAGGACGCGGCCAGTCGGCAAACAGTCGGCGGTCAGAGTGCGAGAGCGGGATTGTCAGTGATACAGGAGAGACAGAGATGATGACAATCACCTCTGAAACCCAGGGAGTAGACGAGGAGGAGGAGGAAGAGGAGCAGAGGAAGGACGACACTGATGTGGCTCTGTACAAAAACACTGACACAAAGTACAACCAAAGAATCAAGACAGTGGATAACAAGGAGAAAGCATGGAGGAGGGATGGCAGCCAGGATGAATGCAGGAGAAACAGAGAGGAGGAGAAAGGGAGAAGGCACAGGAAGGGGGGAGGTGTGGCAGTCGAGATCTTGATCAACGGGCGTGGGATCTTGACTCCTGCTGACTCTGACTCTGACTTAGAGGTGGGAGGACTCAGCACAGAGTCCTCCAAGCCCTTCGTGGTTTGCAATGACATCACTGAATTCACTCTTGACCAGTTTAACGGTTTGGCGACTCCTCCCATTCTTAGCCGCCGGGCATCAAGTCCAGTATTGTCTCAGAGCTCCTCTCTGGAGTCCCTGCTGGCCCTGGGTGTGGAGTTATTCCCCTTCAAAGACCCTCTGCAGCGTAGCAGCTCTCTGGAGAGCGGCCTGGCCCCATGTCGCGCTGCTGAAGGGGAAGCTGGAGGCAGCCTGAGCAGCCTCGGGGACCTGGACCTGGGGCAGAGCAGACAGGTGGATGGAGGTGAACCAGGAAAGGAGAAGATCAGTCAATGTTTGCAGGGAGAGCCGTCCTCTGGGGAGCTAAGCCGGAGAACCCTTGATCTTCTGAAACGTCTGGAGAAAATCCAGAGTCCTCTGGCAGTGAAGATGACCCGAAGTGTTTCTGACATGACGCTTCGGAGCAGCTCCCCACATCGGAGCCACCTCCCCGCCTCCCCCTCTCTAGGTGGCCGACACTCCCCTCTTTCTGGAATTTCAGACTCTTCGCGCAGGGGACCACCTTCGCTGATCAACGAGAGTTCAGCAACAGCGTCGCTAACTGAGCTGAGCAGCACCGAGGACTCATCTCTGGGGTCTGAAGATTTTGCCATGCTCCAAAATCAACGGCACCTTTGCCTGGATCCCAGTATGGCAGCAAATGTCAACTCGAGCTCGCATAGGAAACGTTGTCGTGGAAACATCCGAGGAGGGCAAGTGATGGATGAAGCAGATGCAACGAGTTTGAGCATGGTGGTGAACGTGTCTTGTACATCGGCAGGCACTGATGAGGATGAGGATGAAAGTGACCTGCTGTCCTCTTCCACGCTCACGCTCACTGAGGAGGAGTTTGGCGTCCGTGACGGAGAGGACCATGAGGAGGAGAGGTTAAGCGGAGCCTCTTCTGCTAATGAGGATGATGATGAAGAGGAGATGGAGGGGTCTTATGTCCTGGGGATGGAGTACATGAAGAAGGAGCTGCAGAGCTGGATCCGATCTGCTCGAACCTCCTCTGCCTCCTCACTGAAAACAGAAGCAGGCCTCCGGGATGAGCTGCAATGTGGAACCCACCTGTCCGACACCTTCACATCTTCCTCTCAGCACAAGGAGCAGCACTGTTTTCTAAACCACGCAGCTGCAAAGTTACTAGAAACCAACACTAATATTAGCAACACCAACATGAAAAGAGATCAGACAGAACAGGAGGAGGAGAACCGGAGAAATGCAACAAGAAGCTACATCAGCCAGTTTGTGGACGACGTAGAGAATGGAAATGTGGACCAGAGCTGTTTAAAAGGGAGAGATGAAGATGATGAACTCCTCAGAGAGGAGTCGAGTGTGTTCACAAAGAAAGGAGAGTCACTGAGGGAGCTGTACGTGTTTGCCAAAACAGGAGAATCAGTGCAGGACGTCAGCAACTTGACAGTGGACACAGAATCAAACTCAGCAGATCAGCTTTCTTCAGCAGCACCCTGTGAACGTCCCTTCCCATCCAAGCATGCTTCCTCTTTGGTGGGACAGCTGAAGTGGGAGCTGCCCTGCCACAGCTCCTCCCTTCCCTCACCTCCTTCTCTCTCACCAGTTGAGGACTGTAGATCCCACGATGCCTTGCGCCACGGCGGGAGAAAGGCCATCACCATCCAGGAAAAGTTCAAATTCTCGTCTTTTGTGACAGAGCAGACAAGGACGGAGGTAATAGACAAAGAATCATCGCTGCCTCCCAAGAAGCGGCACAGTTCTCACTCCTGCTGCAGCCACCCTCCCTCCCCCTCCTCCCTCCCTCCATGCAGTGTAGACGAGGGAAAGAAAGAGAATGTGCATGAGTTTGTCATGGAGATTATTGACTTGACCTCACTGGCACTAAAGAGCAAAGAGAATCAGCCCAAAGAACCGGACCAGACTGAGACCGGCAGGTCCAACCCAGACCAAGGGCCGACGTCACTGGCACATATCAGAGACAAGGTGCAGTACTGATGCTGAAAACACACAGCTCCAACAGAGAAAGAATGGCAACACACAAGCAAATGCAAAAAGCTAATTAGCTTAATGGAAATGAAAGTAACAGTTCAGTAAGGCTTCAAATGTTGATAATAAACTGATGAAATTAATTAGTGTTTCAGGAAATGCAGCTCCTGAAGTTGTTTGACCTCATGTATTCTGTACATTCTGAGGACAAATTAATCCAAATGTAGCAAAAGTTATCTCAGTTAATTTGTTCACTGAGTTGAAATAATTCAATAAATCGCATCATAGATCATAACTTTTAGGATGTAATGACTAATTTCTTCAGTAGCTTTTTCAAGTGAAGTAATTTAAAATCTAATCAGTTTTCAGTCTTCATTTTATTTCTAAAAAGGAAAGAAACCAGGCAGAAAACTTTGCTCCTCTCATAAAATGTAAGTTATTAATATGCAGCTCCAGACTGGATGGTTTGCTAATTATGTTACTGCAGGTGTGTTAAAGTACAAATACTGATACATAAATGAACATAGTACAAAAAAATCACAAAACAAAACAACAGAACCACAACCTTGCATCTGAGAAAACTGCCATGACAATCGCATTAAAACCAAAGATGTTAATGTAAAGGATGAAAGAGATTAACAACACACCAGTCAGTTTTATTCAAATTGCTCAAAGTCACAAATTTGTGGAGAAGGGGTTTACAAGTAAACAGCCCCCTCTCTCCTTAGACCCTGAAATCAGATACAGACAACAACAAAAGTCCTGACAAACTTTCTCTCTCCTCTGCCTCCAGGTCTTCGAACACTCCCACCGACCGCTTCACCTCCGTAAGGGAGACTTCTACTCCTACCTCTCTCTCTCGTCCCATGACAGCGACTGTGGCGAGGTCAGTCAGTGCTCCGAGGACAAGAGCTCCACTCCGGTGCCCTACAGCATTCCGTGTTACGTCACGCCGACACAAGGCCTCCACAGCCCCAGCCCTGAGCTGTTTACAAGCTCCGGCTCAGCTCAGGCTTCCAGACGCTCCTCTCCCAACCTTGAGACCAAGAACAGCTTCTGTGCTCTTGATCTGAGGTCTGATAACCAGACTCATGAACACACAGGAGAACCAGTCAGCCCCGCTCTGTCCCTGCCCCCCAGCCCAGACATCAGGGAGGAGGAGACCCTATTTCCGACCTGCACTGAGGAGGTGTACCTGGGTCCACCTCTCTGCTACAGCATGGCGCTCACTAAGAAACCCCAGAGGGACCTGCTGAAGAAGGATGTGGAGTATCTGTCCTCCCTGGATCCTGCCGCTGTGGCACACTCGCCTTGTTCAAAACCAAAGCATAGTCTTCAGTGTTTGTCTCAAGAGGCGCCCAGTTCTGAACCAGGTCACAGTCTGAGCTATTTGTCTCCCTCAGAGGAGTTTGCGTTGGACAGAAACCAGGATCAGGTGTATTTCCAAAGGTCCAGTCCCACAGTGACAGCAGACGAGGCATACAGCTCCTCCTCTCCTTTCCTGGAGCGCTGTTACAGCTCATTTTCCACCTCCTCACCCTCAGTGAGTTTCTCCGCCTCCCTCCAGGGGCCCGGCTCCAAACCTAAAGATGACAGCTCTTCCTCTCCTCCTCTCTCCTCTGGCGCTGTGGAAGTGAAGCGAGGTGAGGACCTGTACCTCCTCTGTGATGTCGCTAGAGGAGAAGTCGCGGTCGCTGGGAGTGTCAGCGTGCCGCAGGAGGAGAGGAGTCGTAATGAGGGGTCTCCTTATCTTAATCCCCGTGCGCCTGTCGCCCCGATAGACTCCTCCGCAGCTGAATGTTTGGCAGATACTAAAACGCTTGAATCCAATATGGGCGCCGTAATGACCAAGATAAGTGTCTGCAGCTCCGCTACAAATCCCTCAAAAGAGGCAGCCACCACCGCCACGCGTATTAATCCCAAAATTAACTGCTTGGCGATGAGAGAGGCTGATAGGGAGGAGGGGGAGAGGCGAAGAGAGGTGGATACTCGGCGGGAGAAGCAGGAGGAGAAGGGGAGGAGAGGATGCAGGGGCTCGCAGCAGGAGGTGAAGAAGCAGGTTAGTGTTCCACATATTAGCCTGATCTGCTATCTCAGGACATTATACAGGGCCTTGACACTGCACTTCACCTCTCTAGTCCAGGTATTAGTCCGAGCCGAGCTCCTCAGTGGCTGTGAAATGTAATGAGGCCGGTGTGCGTTTTTCTCATTTCCATTTCTGAGGCTGGTGGGACGTGAGAGGTGCTGATATACGTAACCTCTCCTCTCGTCCCCCCCGCTACATACCCATCCTCCCATCCTCTTCTTTTTTCTAGCCTTATTTCCTCTTCCTCTCACTCCCCTTCTTTTCTACTTTCCTCATCGTCAGTTTTTCACATGCTTCTTCTTCACCCTTCATTTCATATTTTTTTTCTCCTAGTTCCTTCTTCCTTCACTGTTTTCATCGCTTCCTAAACCTTGTACATCCCCTCCTTTCCTGTGTCCTTTTCTTCCTCACCTGTACTTTCCTTCCCCGCTTCTTCAGTCTTTCTTCAATTGTTCCATCCTCCGACATTTTCTTCTTCACGTTTCTTTTTCTGTTGTCTTCTCTTGTTTTCCCCCTCCCCTGTCTGTCCTGTCCTCCCTGTCCCCTGTCTCATCCCTCTTTCCTCCCTCGGGTGTTAGTGATTGGGGGGGGATTTGCAGACTTCTCACTTTTTTAGTTAAAAGGTTAAGGTCCATGGAACAACATCAGCATAATTACTATCCGTCAGATTTCATTAGGATTCATCAGCTAAGAGCTTTCCCTTCCTGCAGTGATCATTCAGTTCATTTCATCGCTGAATTAACATGTTTGTGCTCTTTTTAACTTTTCTATTTCCTTATGCAAATGAGTTTGCATTTTTTACCATCTCTCGTTACCTTCTCTGTTTATCAGCTTGTAATCTGTTAAACAGCTGAACATCTAGTCTGTCCCACAGTGCACGTTGGCTACGTGTCCTTTATACAATCTAAAGGCAATAGCACAAACTCACATGGACTGATCTTTGACAGACTTTTGGCTTCACACAACTTTTGTGTTGTTGTACTTACAGTTTTTTAATAACTTCCTGGAGGATTGCGAGGTTTCGAGGTTTCGAGGGCAGCCTGGCTCCATTTCTGTCCCAGTGTGCAGTAGTTTCCTCATTAGCTTATAAACTCAATAAAAAGGGCATCAAACAAAAGACTAAGAGAAAAGGCAAAGCTGAGGTAGCTGCGCTCTTACACGTTGGCATGTATGTGCACATGTAAGTGTGACTACGTTTGTGTGTTGGTGTCTGTGTTCATGCGGCCCTGGTAGATGTATGTGGAGCTGCACAAGTCTTTACAAAGCGATTAGTCGTGAACCAATTAAAAGTGGGGGAGAGGATTGTTTTCAGCCTGATGCTTGTTGTTTTCATTTGCAACTTTTTCATCAGTTTGGGCTCAAAGAAAGAACAAGCCGATTAGAAAACAAAGACTAACAACGTTTCAGCCCGATAATGCTGTTTTGATTTATTCTTCTCTGCCTTCTCGTGTTTGTCTCTCTCGTCATCCATCGCCACCTCTCTCTCTCACTGTTCAAACACAAAAGTACACAATGAAATAATGTTTCCTCGTTCTCTGCTGCATCATGTGTATGACTTCATGTGGCAAAACTGGTTTCTCTGTTCTCTCTTTTCTCTCTTCTTCATCTCTTTTGATTTCTCCGCATGCTCGCCTCTCTCTCTCTCTCCCTGGCTGCTTTTTCCTCTCATTTGCTGTTTCCCTCTCAGAGTCAGATGAGCTCTCAGTCGGCTGTCAGTCACACCCCCAGACCAGCCCCGGGCCAGAGCCAGGCCTCAGTGAGACTCGCCTCGAGGACGGGGACGGTTAGAGTGAGCAAACACACACACACCTGTGCAACAAAAGGGGTCATTTGGGATGTTTTAGAATTTCAGCATCACATATTTATCACTGGAGGCTTTTAAACTGTGATTACTGTACAGAGCAGTGTTCTGCTCTGAGGTTATGAACCAGTGTCACTGCCTGCCAAACCAATCGCACAAAGTCCGACCTCAGCACAAAAACTGCTCATGTCATTCGGTGGCTGTTTCACCAAATCTGAAAGTTTAACTAATGAAAGTAAACACCACACTTTGTGTGTCCCTTGCATAAACTGGCAGGCTAAACAAATGTATCAGCAGTTCTTGAGCATCAGTAATTTGTGAAATGTAAGGCTGCTGCCGTTGGCAGTGACTGTGGAGGCAGCGCTCACCATGGTGAAACAGGCCCCACCAGCGGTTATCTGCTAAAACAAAAGGCTCAGGGCATCAGTGGCGGTGCGTCACATTAGCACAGTGATGCATCAAGCATTCAAAGCTGACTTCTCTATTCTAGTAAAACATTCAACCCCAAACATTCCTGACCAGAGAAGAAGTGTCACGGTGGTTTGACTGCAAAAAAATAAATGTGAGATTAGTTGTTGTTTTTGTTTTATTCCCATCACGACGAGAAAGCAAACACTTTTAAACAGACTCATTTCTCCTCAGTTTTGAGGCTGTTGCTCACTTGGAACAGAGCATTTCACTCTTGGTAAAGTCACAACATGTTCTGACAGCTTGATGTGCACCGTCACATGATCGCCTGTTCACATTCCCTGAATTTTCTTACAGAGAGGATGTCGATATGTTTTTCTGTCCACTTAATGTCAGATTAAATTACTGGGAGTCCAGTCCACCTCCCATGAATTACTGCAAATAGTGTGCAGACACAATGTGTGGTCAAGGCAGCAGTGCATTTATTGTTGTTTTTATTAGTTCCTCTGTTTTTAAAGTCAAATCAAACCAGGAAACTATAGAACATGATCAAAGGCCATCACAGACACAATCTGTGTGTGTGTGTGTGTGTGTGTGAGAGAGAGAGAGAGATGTCCGCCCTATGGGTGCCTCCAGGGCTAAGCAAAACCTGCTGCCCCCACACTCCAGACATGCACACACAAGCACACAGATGCACACACGCTCCCGAGGGCAGGGCATGAGAGTCCAGGTAGAAGCTCTGACAGCCCAACAGCTGCAGGTTAGACAGACATGTTCACACACACCAGAGGACAAACCTGCATACACACTCCCATGCACAGAAATACCCACATGGAAGTGCTAAATCAAGCTCATGTACGCACACACAATGCATGTAACAGCAAAGGACCCGCGCACACACACATCATATCAGCGATGCATACAGCTGGTCCTGACCCCCATGGCATGCCCCAGTCTAGCCCACCTGTTCACACACACATGCGTTTGCTTTCGCTCCTGCTGGGGACTTTACACCGACTCACATTCGTTTCCCAGAAACGTAGCCTAACCTTAAACCAGGCCGTCACCCTACAGATCAATGACCTACATGGTGGGGACCAGCATCCTGCCCGTTTGGACAGTGCGAGTGTGTAGCCGGGTTTCAGTCCCCATAGTGTGAGTAATACCAGGCGCACACAAACACCATACACACAGACACAGGTGCAATTAAAACAATCGTGAATGCAGCTCATGATGTGCTCTGTGACCCAGACAGCAGAAGGTCTGCAGCAGAGCACACCGAGCGAGCGCGTGTTCAGGGCCAATCACCGACTCGTGTTTGGAAAGTTTCATAGAAAAACAGAACAGAAAATGAAGCTGAGGAGGAAACGGTCTGTTGGCACAGTGAGCGGGAGAGAACGGAAACGAGAGGAAACCACGAGACGGCTGCTGAATGGTAACTGGACGCACCTCAATAAATTCAATCAAATACTTTAATAGCACAGTAGAACAATTAAGCAATTTACTTTGGACAAAGCCTGAGTGAATGTATTAACGTGAGACCAGGATGTAAGAAGATGTAAGAGTGCTGCTATTACAGCAATCACATGACAAAGCAAACTGTTGAGCAGAAATACTACAAGACGGGAGTCAGTGCGAGTCAGAATCAACCGTGTGTTCATGGTGACGAAGCAGCATGTCACCCAGAGCGACAGAGTGGTCTCTGATGGTACATCAGGCTGCGATGCACACACAGAACTTGTACTTTTCAAAGGATTCGTTGACTGTAAAATATAGAACATCACCAGATTCACCCTTTTCTGCTCCTGTTCCACATCTGCAGCCCAGTGAGCAGTGTCAGCGTCTCAACAGGGAATAGATCTAATTCAGAAGTAGAAGACACTGACCAACATTCATCTCTGTCTTAACAAGCTCTTCCTGTCCTTCTCCCTTCATACAGAGGCTGCCTGTGCTGGGGGCAGGGACCTCCAGGATCCAGCTGTGAAGGAGCTCGCTCCGTCTCCCCTCTGCTCTGCTGATCTGTCCTCTGGGCTTCACCTCTGCAGCCGCCTCCCTGTCTGCTCACGGAGCTTTTCACTCCTCTGATTTCCCCACTGTCACTGCTCTAACTGAGCTGCTCTGTTGAACGCTGGACTGAGAGCTGACTGTCATTTCAGGCTGACCTTCAGAGGGATGCTGTGATCGGACCCAACATGCTTCAAAGGGACAATGAGCCTGCTTTCAGGGGTGAACCTGGAAGTTTCTGAGTGATGGTGAAGCAGCTTCTAGGGGCTGGCTGAGCATAGCTTTGAGTTTTTCTGTGCACAGTGAATTTACAAACAGTTGGAGATTCAGATTTCAGGTTAGGAAGAAAAAGATGTGGTGAAATTATATCCATCAACAATTTACATATGATTATCATGATGATGCTGTATTTGGGCTACACTGCAAAAAAAAAAAAAAAAAAACACTCAACAACACAAAATGGCTTTTTCAGGCTAAATGAAAGCGACCCAGCATCAGCTCCAGCTTCTTATTGATATAAGCTTGTTTTGGTGTGTTATGGACTTTGTCCACAACACACTTCAGGTACTTAAAAATACCACTTAAACTGTTAAACTGAACCAGTGCGTCAAATCCCAAGTCAAGCACCAAGACGTTCTGTACTGGATTGTACTGGTTTACTCTCAGATTGACCCTGTCTTCCTCATTTAGACAGCTTTCTGTTTTTACAGGCTGGTTGCACAGAGATGTGAGTTAGATAGAGGTTTTCAGGTGTAAAGACGCGGCCACCCTACGTCCACCAGAGGTGAGATGTGTTTCCACTGTAGCCGTCACAGCGGCCTGCGTCTTTGTACAGTGCTAGCTACGGTAGCTGCCGAGCTCCGTTCACGGGGGATAGTCGCTTCATGTAACTGTTCAGGTTGTTTACAAATTGGTGTAAGTCCACTCAAAAATTGCAGATCTTAAATGGACATAGGTTTTGGATGATTATGATTTAAAACCTTTACAAAATGATAAACAAAACAAAAGCTAAATAAAAACAGTTAACACAACAATAGAATGCATAAATAAGAACAGCTGAAGCACAAACATTTAGCACAAATAGAATCAGTGTACACAGAATGAACAGAACACACAGAGAAAGGCCTTTCTGCTCTGGTGTCTCAGTGCCGGTGTAGAGAAACATGACTTTATATAGATTTAAATGATTCCGAACTGGAGGACAGAGAAAGGGCCTTGACATGCTTGTGGTTAACATCTTGGCGAAAAGGGAAAGTTGCCTGTTTCCACATCCAGCAGACACAGGGCAACGCCATCACCCATCTCTGTGTTGGTGTTCAGTGTTCACTCTGCTTCAGGCCTCCACCAACTCCTGAGAAACATCTCTGGCTCTTCAGCTGCTGAACGTTCTACGTTCCTCACCAGCTTCATTCTAACTGTGTTGTCTGTTTGGTGCTAGGTGTCTGTAGCTAGTTGGATTCCAGGTCAACATCGAAGTCTGTCTTTGAGCAACCAGCACCTTCTGTTTTTACCCATTTCTTCTTTCTGCATCACCCGTCACTAAGTTCCTCCTCTGTTCCTGGAGATTTCTAGAGCTACCTCACTATAGTTCATCATGTCTTCAGCTGGTTTGCGTGTCTTCCCACCGTATCCCGTCTTTGATGCTCCAGTTGCGAACACTCTTTTGTCTCACATCATCACTGTTCAGCTGTAGGCTGCAGTGTTGTAGCACAAGTGGCATGTTGCTTCCTAAAAATAAGACTTGGCCTTTGTGATGTCGCTGTTCATGACCTGTTGCTGTGACTTTGTCCGACTCGTCATCCTGTAGCGCCCAGCAGACGTACTGTGATGGCTACAGAGCCTCACTCTTGCTCAGATATGAAAAAAATCTAGCCATGACTTACAGACGCATTGTGACTGTTGAGAGAAATTAAAGCCGCAAGTATCCAGCCATGGTGAAAGGACCCACATCCACATTGAGATGATCAGCTTTGCAGAGCGTTGTTGTGATGTTGAGAAATACAGGTTTTACCAGATGGAAAGTGGCCGGTGAGTTGTATTACACTGTTGCTATAGAGACTACTACTTTAAGACAAACTATTAGCATGATTGAAAAGCAGTAAGACCGGCTGGTAGACTTAGAATTAGCCCTGCATGTGCCATTTATTTCTAGAGTGGATGTGGAGTTGGGTCTAACTCTTGGACGCAAAAATGCCAAACCTCGAGACATTTAGCAGACAAATGGCAGCATCCTTTGTTTGTTCAGATGCCAAGAATAACCTGATAGGGACCCCTAATGGCTGCACGTTACAGGGCAGACGGCACCCGCACACAATGCCATCTTTCCAAGAGGGGCATTGGATGAGAATACGTCATACGGATCATTTTTCAAGGCTCTGACTGAATCCTTGTTTACTCATTCATGACTGCAGGTACTGGCATTTTCCTCAACGTGATCTTGCATAGTCTTCGGGTTGTTTTTACATTCAAAGTCTTAAATGCGCAAATGTACCTGCTGAGTTGGCTGGAAAGTATCCACATAAGACATAATAAGAGTAAAATCATCTTAGTTTTGTTTCCTGTTGGCTGAGAGTTCTGAAGCCTTCTGGATTTGACAGCCTCGTGGCTGATGCTTGAGCTTTAAACTTTGACTGTGGCTGATTTGTAGCTCTGTCACTCTTGCAGCTACAAGCTGTGTCCCATTTCTCTGAGGTCTTTGAGGGCAAGTCAGCAACATTACCAAGACAACTGCAGCCTGATTTTGACTGAATTTGTGGAATCTGGCCATTGTTACCTCCTGAGTAGTGAAACGTCCTTTGTGAGGTTTCAGGCCCAGTCCAGCTGGTATTTACCACAGTATCAGTCCTTTAAGAACAATATCTTGGTGGAAAGTCCTTCAGTTTTCCATCTTCAGCTTTAGGTTGACGAGGACTGTTCTGTCTTGTCCAGTGGTAGGAAGTGGTGACGTTGTTTGTAGACTGTCTCATTTGGAGAAGAGCAGGTTCGCAGCCTGTTTTGTCTCCTGCAAACATGCTTGTTGTGTCCAACCGGCACAGTTAGCGCTTACCCTTTTAGTGGTGTGTTAACAGCAGCTGCTTGAAGGTCCTTTTGTGTTAGAGTGAAAAAACATAATGGTTGGTGGATCCTGTCTCATTTAAGGAGAAGCAGGGTCAGAACACTCGAGTCTGTTGTTAAAGTGCAACAGTCAAAATTCTCCAACTTTTGTGTCGAATTGCCCGAATGTAACATTAATTTTTTGCAGGCAGTAGCGATGATCCCTCTGCAGACCATCTCATTTGTGGAAGGCCGTGTTCGTCCTGACAGCCTTCAGAGTTCACCTCTTTAGCCCTTTGAAGAATGGATCACTCTCGATGCTTTTTGTGACCATCCATCATTCTGAGCGCTAATTGATTCTACAAACTGATAATCTTGGAGGTTCTGTGATGAATTGTAGGATGTACCTGCTGCTGTGATGGTGGAAGAAGTCACTGTGCTCTGAATCAGTGGAAACACCCATCAGGTCAGATTTAGCGGAGTCCATTCTGAACTAAACCTTTCTCCTCTGTACTGTCAGAGATGAACCAGGCGTCAAGCGATGAAAAATAAGTTGATACAAAACAGTCTTTTATCTATGCAACACAACCAAAGTTGGCAAAAGCCGAAGCGGTGTTGTTGTGTAGGTGTTAAGGTTTGACCACTGTTGACGGAGACGTGTTGATATTAATACTGCTGTATGTACACCACTACTGTACTGTGTTGTTTTCTTATTTTCTGGACGGGTCCTGAGATTAGCAGTGATGCTGGGGTTTGGGCCTGGTGTTGAAGTGTGTGTGTGTGTGTGCGTAGGACAAAATAGGGTTTGAAAACTTTAAAATATAATTGTGTGCCTTGCTCTACTGTTACTTCTGCCTTTTTGTTATTAATTAAAACCACTGCTTTCCCAGTTAGATGATCAAAACATGCAACAATAAAAGAGAGAAACTGTTTCACGCAAGGTTCACGTTGAGCTTATGTATATACAGTATGCAAAGGTGCAAGACCTTGGTCTAAAATGCAGAGGAATGCTTGGTGTTGGTGTTTATTTCACTGTGTGTGTGACCTGTGATGTGAAATAGCTTTATTATTAGTACTGGCCAAAAAGAGCTTGACTGCATGGTTCCTGCTAACTGCAATGTAAAACCAGCTGTGGACAAATAAACAATTTATTGGAAAAACAAAACTCAGACAAACGTGATTTTTGTGCTCGCACTGTTGTTTTTGGTACAAAGCTAAACGGGTCTCATCGTGGTTGTAATCGATTACTCTGCTAGCAACAAAACAGCCATAAAGATAAAGTTAATAATTTTATAAACCTATGTAGAATAATAAACATTTTAGATAAATTATATTCTCTCATATAGTGAGAAGTTTATTTTCTTTATTGAGGAAAAATGTTTGAAGACTAGACATGTATGAACTTCCACCAGCATCCATCCATTATCTGTACCACTTATTCCTGAATAGGGTCGCAGGGGGGCTGGAGCCAATCCCAGCTGACACTGGGTGAGAGGCGGGGTCCACCCTGGTGACATGTAGACAAACAACCACACACACTCACTCCTATGGGCAATTTAGAGTCTCCAGTCAACCCAAGCTGCATGTCTTTGGACTGTGAGAGGAAGCCGGAGCACCCAGAGAGAACCCACGCAGGCACAGGGAGAACATGCAGAGTCCACACAGAAAGGCCCCGGGTCGACCCGGGCTCAAACCCACATCCTTCTTGCTGTGAGGGGACAGCACTAACCACTGCGTGACGATGCCACCCCTCCAACAGTAACTATTCTGTTTAAATCAAGCCATCACGTTGAGTCTGTTACTTTAAAGGAGTGTTGCATTATGGGTTGTTTCTTCACCTTTCTTTTGCCAGTGAGTTTCCTCTGCAAGGTTGTGTTAAGTCCAGTGTAATGTACAGGAATCTGGTGGTTTGACTTGTTTTGTTGTATTTTTATTCTTTCCAGGTGTTAAAGATGTGACTGTTATAAAGGTCTATAGAGAGCGTCTGACCCCCCCCAGTTCCTACTGCTGCTCAGGTAGATTTTCACCATGAACAGGCCGTGTCTCGCCTTCCTGCGGCTCCAGTCAGTAGTGGAGGCAAACTTCTCTTTCTTTCTTTATGGTTTCTCTCGTTTTCTTCACAATCCATATTTTGTGCACAGTGGCCATGAAGAAGAGTTGTATTCTGCACACATGCTAGCTTTATTTTGGTACTGTTAAAATAAGGGTCTCAGGGTTCGAAAAATAATTTCCAGATCATTAGTCTTGGCTCCCCTGTATTTGGCAGACATATTATTTGTTGAGTATTTATACACACAACCCCTCAACTGTCATGAAAACTAAAATCAGAGCTGGAGTTTGGACGTTTTGTTGTGTGTCAGGGCCCCAATCATCAGAAACACATCATTAAGATGTTTGTGATCTTCCAGGGGTTTATGTTTTGCCCTTAATCAGCCCTCCATTCCTG